AGATAATATCTGGTCCCCGGCCTCAGACCTCAGAAACGCAGAGTGATGGATCCTCTGGAAAGCCAGGGGCAGGTGGCTTAAATGTAGTGAGGTCTGCTACGTGAGTACTAAGGAGAGACGTGCCGAGGCAAACCTGTTGATTCATTCCATCTGTAAATTCAAGAAACTCTGGTCCGGAAGACAATAAGCACTTTTGGGACACCTTTTGTTTTCCTGGTGGTCGCTTTGTCCTTTGGAGTTTTGGGGGATGGATGTGTTGGTCTTGCCTCACTGTTGATGTTTGAAGGCGAAGTTTCACTCAGAGGCTCAGGCTGGAGTGCAGAAAATCTGCTTTTCAGTGGGATTCCCACAGAGTCAGAATGTTTTGAGGCTCTTGCTGGTTGCTTTGTCCGTGGGATCGGTGGAGGCGTTTTGGTTGTAACTGCTTGTTTGTCTTTCTTTGGCGGAGCAGGTGTTGAAGTTGAGGGTGGGTTTCGGCTCAGAGCCGGCCACGCTGATTCGTCTCCCTGATAGTCGTCTCATTGGATCCGCAGTGCGCTCCCGTTTTGGCTTGGCACCCAGAGCGTTCCAGGGTGAGCTGCTCGGTGCAGGGCGCACGACTTCTCCGTTGATTTGAGGAAGAGTTATTTCATTTCTACAGGGAGCGTTGATCTCAAAGTTCACCTCCAGTAGTTTAATCTTCATTTCTATAGACTGAAGTGGTTGTAAAATATTGCTCATGTCCTTGGAGTTGGGCGGAGGCATTTTGCCCTGGTTTAACTTGGACGTAAAGAAAAGTAAGGTAAAAATAAAAGTAAGAAAATCCCCCAGTCCTTAGGTTTGGAGTAATCCAGTTAAGATGTCAATAATGTAAATATAGCTATAAAAACTGTCGCTTTAAAAATAATTCACAGGCAGAGTTATCAGAAAGGATGAAAGAGAGCAGGATAAGCTGTTCCTCCTTTGGAAGTCAAAGCTCTTATTCTTTGAAATGCTATTTAAAACCACAGCTATCAAGTCTTAAAAACAACAAATGAAAAAAATTCAGTTAAAATAAATATAAATTATTTGCACTTCTGTTAAATTCTAATTAAGTCCATAAGACACCCACGCCTTCAGGGTCCATAAATGTTACATTTTAACATTTTAACATAGACCATAGATATAGAATTTATTTATTGAGATTATCAATGCTGCTCAATTTCATTTAATGTTTTCAGCATACAGAAATTCAAGCACTTTAAATTATTTAACATTCAAATGTAAGATTAAGGAGCTGGCAAGTTTATTTTGTAAAAGTTCAACAAACAATCTTCATATATTGTTTGTTTACCATGGCAACAATCTGATGCGTTTTTAATGAGCACCAAAAAAACGGTTTTGGTTTTCATGGAGCGAGTTTTTCTGATATCCACACAGCTGTGGAAAATAACTCTGACTAAGTAGATAAAGCATTTGATATGGTTTGATGGATCATGTAACAGGAAAAATACCATAATAAAATAAAACCAGTGTGATGCTCGCCTCATGAGGCTCTGAGGCCAACAGGAAAGCTCTTTTACTGATGTTGCACAAAGCAGGTTTTAGTGACGTTGCTGCAGCCCAACAGAAGCTGCTGGTCAGACGTGTTCTAATGCTATCTCTCCCTCAGTACTGATTATAACATTAAAATACTTTGAACTGTTTTTCTGCTGCATAAAAATGTAATGTCAATTGTTAAAAAGGTGATTTAAAAAGTTTGGGTTTGCTAAGAGTGAAATGTTGTTGCTTTTATGAAGTTTGTCTGAGATTTTCCATCCAAAATGTCTTTTTAGGACAGAATACAGGATCTGCCTCTAATGCTGTATGTCTCTGCTGGAGATTATAGGTTTGTGCTAAAAACACTCTGTTAACTGTTGTGGTTTTATATCTTTTTATTTCAGGACTGCATTTTAGAATATGCCTCTGATGCATCTTTTTACAATTTGAGTGATATTAATACTGTCTTAATTAATATTAAATATTCTCATTTTATTATTATCTTTATCTGGTGTTTAGTGAAACATCTTTACTATATATTAATTTATTCATTTGGTTCATTGTGCTGGGAATTATTTAGCATTTACTAATTACAGTGATATAATTTGACATTTTTATATTTCCAGTCACAGACTAGTTTAGAACTACGGTCACATAGATGGTTGAAGTGGAAGCTGATACATGAAACTTCATGGTGTGAAAAGGTTAAAGTTTATGTGTTGTTTCCATCATGAGGTGAGATTTCCCAGAGTACTGCTGGGCTTATGAAGGGCGTCTCAGAGTCTGGAGGTTCTTGTTCACCAGAGATTCGCTCTATGGACGCCGGGAACGATGCTGTGCTGCAGCAGGCAGAGATCTTGGTAAAGTGCAACTTGTTGAGCTGAACCTGCAGTAACCTCACTAAGACAATCAGCTGTTTGAGGTGAAACTGAATGTTGACAGCTGTTGATGACAGATTGATGGTTTTCTTCATCTGCAGCTGATCCACAACAGCGACTGATGCAGGAGGAAAACATGCAATGATGTTGATGAATGTTGTGATAAACCCTGCATTTCTTCTTTTAATTGTTCTGAATATTCCATATTCTATGTATGGACATATTTTCTGATTTCTCACTCTTTTTTTTCACAAGTTTGTGTTTCAAATAGAATCTAAATTGTTCTCATACTTGAACACATCAGTCTGAGTAATTCTTCAAAGTCTACCAAGAATCTGAGCTTCTTTGTTTGAATAACACCAAATAAAACTTTAATTTTTGCACATTTCAAAGTCCATAGACCAAAGGAGAATCACCAAGCCTCCATAGTGCAGTGATCATATCTGGCCACATGATGGAGACAAATCCATATTCTCTGGTTCAGCAACGTGTAAATTGGACTCAAACTGCTTAATTTCACCTCAAGATGTTTTTGTCAACTCCTATCAGCTTTAAACTGTTTGATTCAGATGTTCACCACCACACATTTAGAGTTAAGATTTTTAAACATATATATGTTGACATAATGCAGTATGCACCTCCACGGGCTTCAGCTTTGTAGTTTTTTTAGTTGAAATAAGAAACAGAAAGAACTCAGAAAGGAAGTCTTTCATTTCTCAAAAAAAGCTTGTCCTAATCAAAGCCCATCAAATATATTCTATGCTTTTCACTACCAACATGAGTATCTCAGTTGTTAAACAATGAAATACATGATACATATGAATGTTGTCATAAGTTTAACAACTCTTGACAGGTTTTATTGTCAGTATAGTTGAGCCTTGTCTGAATTTATCTACATTAATACCAACTTCACTTTTTGTTTTGATTCTTTTTAATAAATGTTTGAGATTAATCTGCCAAAAGAATCTCTGATCTTTTGCTCTTCCATAAACCATCCATCCATTTTCTAACACCCTTGTCCCTAATGGTCAGGAGGTGCTGATTCATCTCCAGTCAACGTTTCGGACAAGAGGAACAAGGCGGGGTCACCTTGACAGGTCGCCAGTCTGTCGCAGAGCAATACGGAGACAAACAGGACAAACAAGCATCCACTCACACCTAGAGAAAATTTAGAGAGACCAATTAACCTGACAGTCATGTTTCTGGACTATGGGAAGAACCCGGTGTTAGGATTTTAGTTGGTGTGAGTGTTCTTGCAATAGACGATCTTCGTGGAGTGCATCTGAAGCGCACCTTAAGCGGATCTCCTACAATGGGCGGCAGGATTCTTAAGGAGCGGTGGTGCAGCCAGTCATCGCTCGATGCTCCCACTTGTTGGTCGGAGTCAAATCTAATGTTTTGTTAAGTCTCGGGTCCATAGAAGAACTAAGTAAGTTGTGTGTGTTCCACAGATTGATGACGTCTCGTTTGAATTCTGCCAGGAACTGCACCTGCCCTACTGTCAAGCAGACCACAGATTGACCGGAACATCTGCCTGCCGCCTCGGCACCTAAAAACCTAAAACCTTGCTGGAACCTCCACACTAACAATTCCTACCACCTCCCTCAGCAACTCTCCTTCCCCGACGAACCGTAAGCCTTCTCGCTCCCTCCTCTGCCACGATCCCGTCGTCCTTCTCCTTTCTAAACCTCTCCCCTCTCCGAGCAGCACCCGAACCGACCCTCCGTTTTCCAGCTCAGAGGGCAACCCGGACTCACCATCCTTACAAAAAGACTGTATAATAAATCTTTTGAACTTCTATTTTCATGGCTTGTTGTTTGAAGCCTACATGTGTGTGAAAAAACTAAAATCCAACATGACACCTGGAGAGAACCCATCATGCACAGGGAGAACATGCAAACTCCGTGCAGAGAGACCCCGGATCAGGAATCGAACCCAAGACCTTCTTGCTGCAAGGCAACAGTGCTACCAACTGCCCTCTGTGCAGCCCTTTCCAAAACCTAACAAAATGACAATTTGTTGTTTTTTGGAAAACTTTTTCCAACATGTCGACATTCAAATGTTCAGTCAGAGGAAAAGCAGCTGATGTCGTCCAGGAGGAGCAGAGATTCCTGCCAGAGGACGATACTGCCAAGACTCTGGACCCTCAGATACTAAACAACCACAATACCATCCATCCAAACCTCTTCCACCTTTCTTTACAACCTCTTTGCTCTCCAGTCTCATCTGGTCCGTGTGAATTTTATCAAGAAAACTAAACAGATTCGATTTCAAAACGTTGGAAAATCTTTTTTTAAATAAAATAAAATCCCAGTCCACATGCATCCTCATTCACAACATGTTTGCTGCTTCCAGGCTGCAGGAACTTCAGTTCTGATGGTTCTGACCCGTCTGGTGGTTCTGAGCAGTAACTGCTGTCTCCAGCAGGGGACACTGTCCTAGTCAAAGTCTCCAGCTGCTTCTTCAGGATTCTGGTCCCTTATCATCCTGAACCTCCTGATCTGGTTCCTCTTCTTCCTCACTCATTACATCACATTAACCTTTGACCTTCTAATCAGCCAATTATCACTATTGATCACCACCAATCATCCGACTGAAAAAAAATCCAGTATTTACACCACTGACCTTTGACCTGGAGATGAACCCGTTTCATCACCAGAATGACTCGTTTCCTGATGGAGACTCTGCAGGTGTAGATCCCGCTGTCTGCCACTGAGGGGCGGTCCAGAGTCAGACTGAGGTCTTTAGTCTTCAGTGGGTCGTCACCCATCCTGGTTCTGCTGGTCAGGTTCTGTTCTTCAGGATCATCAGAACCGTTTGGATACACATGGACCGTCTTGTTCTCTCCATTCTTCCACTCCACTCTAGCATCTCCAGGCAGGTAAATGTTGGTTCTGCAGGGCAGCAGGACAGATTTAACCCCTGAATCCACCTTCACCTGCAGAGCTGAGAGACACAGAGGACAAGATGAGAGAGAGAAAGAGAAAAAGAGAGAGAGAGACAGAAAGACAGACAGAGTTCCTCCTGGACCAGGATGGACCCATCAGGTCAAAAACCATGAAGGTATTTCTAGAGAAAATGTTTCCTTATAACTGAGACGTTCAAGTCAGAGAGAAAAGTCCGACAGCAGAGTTTCATCTCTAAGACAGTTTGGGGGGATGTAACTGTTCTGAAGGCAGAACTGAATTGTAGTTTCTGGTTCTGCTCTACACCCAGAACCAGAACCAATCATGGAGAAACAGCATTCAGCTTCTATGCACCATAAATCTGGAGGAAACGTCTAGAAAACTGAAAAGCAGCAGAAACACTGAGATCCTTTATATCTAATAGACTGTAGAGGCAGCAGCTGCTGGTTCTGGTTCTGTTCATGATGTTTCTAACTACGCTGCATTTGATCTGAGCTTGAATGAACAGAAAGATCTGAACTGAGGAGAAGACGCAGCCATTTAGTGAGTTGACCTTTGACATTTAGGACAGGTCACATGATGTCTCACGGCATTCTGTGTCAGAAACATTCAGACTCACCTGGCAGGAAATGATCTTTAAAATGATATAAAGCGCCTGCAGAGACGATGAGAACCAGAACCAACAGAACCAACAGAACCAGCAGAGCTTTGGCCCAAGATGGAAAGTGTTCTGTGGAAAAACAGAGAAATGGTAACCTCACTCTGACCTTTGACCTTTATCAGCAGCTCTGACCTGATGCTCTGACCTTTCTTGACATATTTCAGAACCACCGTGTGTCTCAGGACGTCCTGGCCTCTGTAGACGGTGCAGACGTAGCGTCCATCGTCTCCGTCTCTGGGATTCCTCAGGGTCAGGCTGACGTCTCCGGTCCTCAGAAAATCTTTCTTCATCTCTGTTCGGTGGCGGTAAAGTTTGTCCTGGTTTCTTTGGTTGCTGCTTGAGTGAACCATCATAAATTCTGGTTCTGAACGGGTCCACTCCACTGATGTGTCCTCAGGAAGCTGGGATGATGTTGTGCAGGGCAGAACGACAGAATCTGACCCTTCAGTGACCTTGACCTCCTGCTGATCAACTGAGAGGAAATAAAGAACAAAATGAGCAGAAACATTTGGATCATTTTCTGGTTTTATGTCGTCATTCAGTTTCTGTCTGCAGGGAGAAAATCATTTAATGATCAACATAAAATCAGAAACTTGAATCCATCAGTGGTTCATGTTACAGTTATTGATCCATCAGAGGGTTTGATCAATACATAGCAGATCTATAACCTGTTTGTTCTGTGGAGGCTGAAGACGAAAAACACAAATACTAAATATTCCTGGAAATTCATCCTGTAAATGTTCAGTTTATCCAGTTGATCATCAGAACATAAATAATAGTGTGAAAAGTGAAAGAGGTGATAAATCATGTTTTATAATCTTAATAAATATAAAATCTTTTTAAGAAGTCATAAAATGATGCTGAATATTTATCTAATTCATTTTATATTTTATTTATATTGTTATTTACATGAATAAAGCTGCTGTCATTAAAGAGTCGACTGCTTTACTGTTAAAGACTAAAATAGTGACTGAAGTCAATTATGGAGACTTAAAGAAACATGAAATATTAATGAAAGCATTTCCATTTTGTTATGAATTAACAGCAGAGTTCTAGGTTATAAATCTGTTTCATTAGTAACTCAGATTATAGAAATTATTGTATTAATAATTTAATTATAGAAATAATCTTTTCATCCATTTCTTGGTTATAATGAGTTATTATGGGGATGGTCTCCATGGTTACAGGAACTATGAACAATTATTAATTTTCTCATTTCATCAAATTCATTTATAGATTAGAACTTTATTTTATGAATAAAGTTCATAGTTTGTGTTATGATTGTGCTGCTTGTTTATCTGACCTTTGACCTTTATCAGCAGCTCTGACCTCTGAGCTGATGCCCTGGACTGACCTTTGAAATATTTCAGAACCACTGTGTGTCTCAGGACGTCCTGGCCTCTGTAGACGGTGCAGACGTAGCGTCCATCGTCTCTGTGTGTGGGATACATGAGGGTCAGGCTGACGTCTCCGGTCCTCAGGAAATCTTTCTTCATCTCTGTACGGCAGCTGTAAGATCTGTCCTGCTGGGCGTAGTGTTTACTTGTGTTAGGAAACACATGAATGAACATGGAACGAGGTTCTGAACGGGTCCACTCCACTGATGTGTCCTCAGGAAGCTGGGATAATATTCTGCAGGGCAGAACGACAGAATCTGACCCTTCAGTGACCTCGACCTCCTGCTGATCAGCTGAGAGGAAATAAAGAACAAAATGATCAGAAACAGTTTGGATCATTTTCTGCTTTCATGTCGTCATTCAGTTTCTGTCTGCAGGGAGAAAAATCATTTAATGATCAACATAAAATCAGAAACTTGAATCCATCAGTGGTTCATGTTACAGTTATTGATCCATCAGAGGGTTTGATCAATACATAGCAGATCTATAACCTGTTTGTTCTGTGGAGGCTGAAGACGAGAAACACAAATACTAAATATTCCTGGAAATTCATCCTGTAAATGTTCAGTTTATACAGTTGATCATCAGAACATAAATAATATTGTGAAAAGTGAAAAAGGTGATAAATCATGTTTTATAATCTGAATAAATATAAAGTATTTTTAAGAAGTTATAGAATGATGCTGAATATTTATCTAATTCATTTTATATTGTTATTTACATGAATAAAGCTGCTGTCATTAAAGAGTCGACTGCTTTACTGTTAAAGACTAAAATAGTGACTGAAGTCAATTATGGAGACTTAAAGAAACATGAAATATTAATGAAAGCATTTCCATTTTGTTATGAATTAACAGCAGAGTTCTAGGTTATAAATCTGTTTCCATAGTAACTCAGATTATAGAGATTATTGTATTAATAATTTAATTATAGAAATAATCTATTCATCCATTTCTTGGTTATAATGAGTTATTATGGGAATGGTCTCCATGGTTTCAGGAACTATGAACAATTATTAATTTTCTCATTTCAACAAATTCATTCATTTATAGAACTTTAAAATAGGGAGTCCTGTTTGTTTATCTGACCTTTGACCTTCAGGTGAATCTGTTTCAGGTTCAGTTCTTCTCTTCCATCAAAGATGCTGCAGGTGTAGTTTCCTCCATCAGACTGCTGAGGTTTCCTCAGAGTCAGGCTGAAGTCTCCAGAATCCAGAGCGTCAGGATTCATGGAGGTCCGGTTTCTGAAACGCTGGTTCTGGTTTTTAAGATCGTCTCCGTTTTCTCTCCGTAGGTGAACGGAGTTCGGACTGAGATAACTGCGAGTCCAGATGAGTAACGGCTCATCAGGTGTAAAACCAAAGTAAATGCAGGGCAGCAGGACAGACTCCGCCCCCTGATTCACCTCCACCACTCCACCCAGAGCATGCTGGGAAACTGAGGACACAAGACGAAGGTTCAGTGTAGAAATAATGATCAGTTATTCACTAATGATGAAAGATTTCAGTCTGTCTGCTAAACATCTCAGTGATACTGAACTCTTATCTGATCATGTAACATGTAACTCACATTAAGCAATAAGTCATAAAACTGATAAAACTGCATTAAAATAACTTAAAAATGTAAAACCTGAAAGATTGAAACAGATGAAACTCAAAAAGCATGAATGTGTTTTTTCAGAGTTGCTGTTTGTGGTTATTAGCAGAAATCCTGCTGTCAGTTTTCAGGTTGTTTTATCTCTTGTACAGATTTGATGATAAAGATTTTAGTTTTAGTATCTTGGTGATTGTTGGAGCAGATTTTGTTTCTGTGACTTTATAAAAAACTAAAATTCTTCAAACTTTATTTTTCTGGGATTTCTGGTTCTGATTCTTTATAGTTATAAAATGTAAAACCTTCCAGTAACTTTCAGTCACTTTCTGCTGTGAAACTGATGCGTCTTTGTTGATCAAACAACAATTTGGACATTTCTGTATATTCTACATATTTTTATTACTTCAATAGAACCTCATTGTGAGCCGTCGTCTCAAAAGGATTTATACACAACTACAATCTTAACACAGATGTCTAAAAATTTAATTCTAGTCATAAATACAGTCCAGATGTTTGTTAAAGGATCCAGGATTAGTTGAACATGTTGGCTCAGTATGTTGCAATTTTCCGACTGACTAAAGAATTGCTGTTTGATACAAAAACTCATAATTTCATTCTGAATATCATCAATAGATCAGATTTGTTTTTATGAAACCAGTAAACCAGTAAACCAGAACCCACCAGAACCTGATTCTCCTTTAATGGTCAGACCACCATCATGCATCAGCAGCAGAACATTATGACCACCAACCTGAGACTGAGGTGAATTCAGGAGAAATAAACTACAAACTACAACCACCAGGCGGCCATCTTGGATTCAAATGAACATTTATGTGAAAAATTGAAGACTTGAAGGAAAACCAGAACCTTCAACATCTGCAAACATTCATCACTGGTTTCTGAGGTTAATGTTTCTGGGAGCTAAAGTCCAGATTACTGGTCTGTATGGGTCTCAGTGGTTCTGATGCTGACAGAACTACAACCTGATAGAAAATATCAGAACCAGATCAGCTGCTGAACCCAAACCAGAGAAATTAGATCCAGACAGGAAACAGCAAAGTGGAGCCACAGGTTGGATGGAAGAGACCAGAATCCAACCAGGAACAATAAACCAGTGAGATCTACTGGGAGGACTGGTGAGAGACGAGTCGCTGGAACCAGAACCATCAACCAGCTGAGGTCACCAAGGGTCGGTTATAGAGAAGAATGGACCAGAACCAAGAAGCTCTGAGTCTGATCAGCAGCTTACAGAGACTGGAGAGGATGAGGAGCAGATAGAGGAAGGTGATCTTACCGAGCAGGAGGATCATCATCATCATCATGATCATCTTCCTCTCAGAACAGAGAGTCGTCCATCGGATCCCAGCAGCAGATCACCTCTGACACCAGATCATCGTTTCTACTGGAACCAGCAGAGACACGCAGGAAGAAACTCCACTGCTGATTGGCTGATTCAGACGCTGCTGAACCGGTTCTGATCCAGTTCTGAGGAAAGGCGGGACCTTCAGTTTCCTCATTCAGCCATGGAGCTGTGAGTAGGTTGAAGGTCAGGAGCTTCAGTTTCTTCAGTTTTGTTGGAGTTCAATCATTTCTGTCTCTGTGATCCTCCAGGTCCGTTTACCAGTTTCAGGACCGACCAGAACCCTGAGAAATAATGAGATTTGGTTTTATAAAAACACGCTGCTGAAAATGATCAGGCGTTACAAGCCATAATGTGATCCAAACGGATCAGAACCAGAGTTACATCCAGCCTGGGAAACATTTAGCAAACCTGATGGATGAAACCGAGTCCATCTGCCTTCAGCTCCTCTATTGGCCAATAAAGCTTCAGAACCAACATCACTGGGTCAGACGTAGTGAGGCGTTTACGTCTCGGTTCTTTACAGGCCACAGAACAAAACTAACTTCATCCCAGTCGTGTTACTAACTCACCTGATCCTCCTTCACTACTGAACATAAACTTCTTTAACCTTTGTCTCTTTTAGCCTGGAGGCTTTAAGATGTTCAAATAGTTTGTCTCAAACGTTTCCAACGACAGTTAAAAACCTGCAGAGTTACAAACAGGTTTTAACTTGCTGCAGCCGTTCACTGGAAGATGTTTATCAGTTTCTGTCTCTGCTGTGCAGGAATGTTTCCTCCTTCCTCAGTTTGGGTCGAGGTTCATCTGTCACACAGACGGCCTCACTTTTAACTCTACAATATTTTAATTTAATGTCTGTGCTGCATTTTCTAACAAACTGCTTCTGATAAAGCTTAAAATGTGACATTTTAGAGATTGATTTGCTCTCTGTTGGTGCCTGGTTCTGGTTCTGGTTCTGATCAGGACAGATCGATGGTTTTCCAGCCTGTCAGCTCTGCAACCTCCAGTTCTTCATCCACCAGTTCAATCAGTTTGAACATTCATTTATAACCTGAGAAGCAAACAGAGGAAACGGTTTCATTAGTGCAGATTAGGAGAAGATTAAAGGTAAAATAATAATGAACAACATCTAAAAATGAAACATTACTGTGTAAAAGTTTTAAAGCCGTCAGTTTGTTTTGTTTCCCTCCAAAGATTCAAAATTGGTGTAAAAACGTCTTTTGACTGTGATCAGCTTTACAGGAACATTATTATCTCCTCTGCATCTCCACTGTATTGATCCAGATATTAATCATTTGTTGATGATCTGGGCAGAAGAAAAAGACCCAGAAAGGAGGAAATAGTTTTTATCATCCAGTAACTTGTGGATGTTTGTTGTTAAAGTTTCAGTCAGTCGGATCCATCCAGTCGTCTTTCACTACATGACCGACTTCAGTTCCTGATCCTGTTTAAAATAGTTTTTGTTTACTTTTCTAAATAAAAACAAATGATTAATAAATTACAAACATTTCAGAATAATTCAAGAACCCTGGCAGGAAGGTCAAAGGTCACCATAGACATTAATTAGCATTAGCATAGCTAACAACATTCAGCTGCTACACATTTAATTATCCTTTTAGCTCTGATGCTAAATTATGGCCAGAAAGTTCATTTAAAAGTAAAAAAATAATAATAATAACAATAACAATAAAGAATCTGAAACATAGTTCACAACATTTTTTAAAGTTTAACATTTTCCTAAATGGCAAAAATTTCAAAACTTTTTCAGTTTCTAATCTTTTTTTTTTTCATTTGTATTTTTACTATGGTTTGCTTTTTCACAATTTAGTAAAAATATCCTGTTGTTAAAGATATTTATACCAATTTGTTATACTATACGTGTATTATTATTATTATTATTATTATTGTTATTATTATTATTATTAGTTAAGGAGGAATATTTAAGATATATATGTAAAAATCATCTTTAAATGTGAAATGGCCTTTTCCTTTTGTTTTGGATGTTTTTGTGTTATATACAATTTTTTTTTGTTAAATAATTTTATCAAAGTTGTTTTTGGTTCTAAAATAATTATATCATGCCAGGTATTATCAGAGTTACTGCCAGCGAACAGCGCGGTGTTCCCGACTCCCAGAAAAACACGGTGTTTTGTCAGGAACAAGTTGAAATATTTTTCATGAGATTTTTGGGGCAACATGTGGATTTTTAGCATGAATTGGCCCAGGAAAGGGCTTTCCATGTGGAATGAACCTCTCTTTCTGTCTTCTGCTCATTTGTTACTTTTAAAAAGTTCACTCAGCCTCAGTTTGAGGGGAAGATAACTGGGTCATTTTTGCAATTTGTGTTTTTTTTTTTCTGTTTTTCTAGGTTTCTGACTCGGTTCTGTTCCTGCTCTGCAAATGAAAGCAGTGAAAATCTTACTGAAGTTGTTGAATCAGATTATTGAGATCATCACCTCTAAGAGTTCTTCATGGTGTGAAATGCTGGTTGCTCAACAAAATTACCAGAGGGTTTTATGGGTTCTTTCCAGAAAGTGATCATGAAATCTGTTTTTCCAGATTCCCAGAACGAATCATTGACGTCAACAACAAACAACCTGCAGCAACAAGACAAAAGCACAAGTTCAGAGAGTCGACCTGAAATGAACAGAGCTGGATTTAACAGCCGCCCTGATCCGCCTTTCAGCTTTACCATCTGATCCGTCTCAACTCCCAGAATGCACCTGGTTAACACTTCAACATGGTGGCACCGGGTCCAGTTCTGGTTCTGCCCTCTGACCTCTTGGCCTCCTCCGGCCTGTAGGTAGAGATAGGCCTGGTTCTGGAGCCACAGTGATGCTGATCGGTGATATGAACTGGATTCTGATCCGAATCCTGAGACGGATTAAAGCTGCAGCTTCAACATCAGAACCAGATGAAGTTTCTTCTTCACTAAAGAACATTTCAGTTTGAGTCTCTGAATGTAGGAACTGATTTCATGAACACAAGAGAGTCAGAGAGAACCGGGTCAGAGAGAGAACCGGGTCAGAGAGAGAACCGGATCAGAGAGAGAACCGGATAAGAGAGAGAACCGGGTCAGAGAGAGAACCGGGTCAGAGAGAGAACCGGATCAGAGATCGGTTGTTAATTGTTATTAAAATACTTTTATGAATTGATAATCATTTCAGTTTCAGATGAGTGAAATTTAATTTGCTGCTTTTTTTTTCTCTCTCCCCCTATTGAATCTTCCCATTTAAAAAGCCTCCCTGACATGTGCTTCACACATTCCTCAAGCAGGTCTTGAACTCAGACCCATCAGAACCACAAGCCATGTCTTTATGCAGTGCACCAACCAAGCACCGACCCTTTGATTTGCTCGAACTTCTACAAGTACCTCAAAGTCAGTCTTCCATGTTAAACTTTAAAACTCTAGCTGTCACTCTGGATACAGACTGTGTTCCACACCACAAGCAGGTCTTGTACTCAGACCCATCGGAACCGAAACCCAGTCTATATGCAGTGAGCCACTCAACCACAAGCCAACCTTGCTCCTCCAACTTCTATAAAGTCAGTCTTCCATGTGAAATTTTAAATTCATGCCTTGAGCATCAACATATGTTTCTCAAATTGGGTAAGATTGTGTGGTCTACAGGTGAAGGCATTACAATTCAAGGACAAGGGTTCAAATCCTGGAAAGTAAAGGGATAGCTTGAGATAGGAGGTTAAATTTATCTATTGCTCCTCTGGCAATATTTCTACTCCTTGCTATAACACATTTTTACACAGACTGTAGTTGAAGATTTCCCAAACTGCCATTTCAACCCACAGCACTTTATTGTCTGGGCCAACCAAACTGAAAGCTGTCTACTTTTGTCTTTGAAGACGATCAAAAACCTAAAGGGAAGCTTAAAAATTGAATAACCTTGTTGCTTCATATCAATAAAGTTGTCAGGACAACTTCCTGCTCCCAGGACTTGAACCTGCGAGATCCCAGTCCCTTTCTTTCTGTTCTGTTCTCTGTTTGCATACAGAGAGGCGATGCTGAAGAAAGCAGGGAAAGTTGAGCCAAAAGGTAGGAAGAGTGTAATAAAACAGCGGATAACGGCTGCCGTTCCAGTGTACACAGTCAAAAACTTGATCTGCCAGTTGAATCTTAAAGCCTGTGAACGTCTTTCAGAAATGTAGAGCAACTCATCGGCCTGGCTCCAAATTTTGTGCATCGTTCCCTAGATGGTCTCTTTCCCCCTCGGTCCGACAAGCTTTAACTTGAGGCGGCTAAACAGAACTACTTTGCAACTAAGTTACGAGCGTAGTGGGAAGCCCTCTTGGGCTCTGGTCGTATAGCGGTGCAACAGTGGAGGCAGGTCAGGAAGTCATAGACTAACAGGAAACTGATCTACTGAATAAAGGCCTCTTGCTTATTTATAAATTTAGATTTGTCATTTGAAAGAACAATGGTCGGAAAAAGCCTCTGTTACTCACCAGGGTAAAATTACTAATTACTGTTTTATAATTCTGCACACATGATATTGTACTTTAGTGAAATCACAGTTTCACCACTTTTTAAGAATCAGCAGGATTCCAGCCCTGCACCTGTAATCAAATATGCATGATTCACCAGTGACCACCAGTGGAAAACATTTAACACTATTAACAGTCATCCCATCGAGTTCAAACTGATGTTAGGCCAGTCAGAGTTCAGTTTTTGGTCACTTTAGTGTTTCAGATTGTCTAACATTGTTGAAATTTCATGTCTTGTTTTAGTTCAGGAAACTGTTGCTCTGAAAATATCTCTACCGATGTAGAGAGGCCTTCAGTGACAATGGCACAAACAAATATAAACATGTTTTCCTGTCACAATCCTTCTCATAATGAACCTTATGACCTCTGTCCACTTTCTGCACGACAGTAAAGCGGGCAGATATAAATAGACCAGGCCATTAAAATGGAGGCCCCTGATTGGTCCCGCTCTCCCACCTTTCAGATGCAGAGCTGTTGTGCCTCTTCCACACAGAAAGAGACCCGAACCCGCGCATCAAGTGGAAGAAGAAGACAAAAGATGTCTCCTTCGTCTACTTTGAAGGAAGCTTCAGAGGTTCGTTTTAATCCCAGCTGCGTCCCACTCATACATCAGATAAGCTGATTTAATCATCAACTACTGATGAAGGTCAGTGGTGTGGTGGAAGGTTAACCTTCCATCTTTAAGTCTGAATTGTAATGAACACAAGCTCTCAGCAGGCAGATCCTGTTAATGATTGTCTTTGACCTATTGCCACCTCCTCCACTTCATTAGCCAGTTGTGGCTCTTGCTTCATTAAGAAGCATGTTTATTTGAGCTTCAGCTCTGAATGCTAACACTATGAAACTGGCAAGTTAAGTTGGTATCATTGATGCAAATCCACTCATCATACCCAACTTTTCTGCAAATTGGACCAAATCCTCCGTTCTGTTCTGTTTCAGAACCTCTACAACTGAGAAAACATCCCTTCAGTTCAATATCACTTCACTTGTTTTGACTTAAAACCAGCTCTGAGTAAAGTTGACTGCAGCTGAATTTGCTACTGTGGGGGAAAAAAATTAAAAATTGCAAAGTCTTTCTTCTGCAATGTTCTCAGCTTTCAAGACCTTCCAACATTCCTCCCAGGTCCCTTCGAAGGCCGAGCAACCATGGTCGGGACGACGATGACCCTGCACAGAGTGACCTGCACAGAGTGACCCAGCAGAGAGTGACCCTGCACAGAGTGACCCAGGAGGACGCCAGAGAGCACCGCTGCGAGATCAGCGCGTCCCTGGACACGGTCAGCCTGGGCGAGACCAATGTGACCCTCAACGTCTTGGGTAAGGAACAAACATAAACTGATTTTTGTTTTTTGTTTTTGGACAAACCAAAGTTCTGACTCACCCTTTCTTACTTTGTCACCCAGTGCCACTGCAAACTCCCACATGTGAAGTCCCTGCCTCGGTGGTGACGGGCTCGGCGGTCCAGCTGCGCTGTCGGGACCAGCAGAGCGTCCCGCCCGCCGCGCACTCCTGGTTCAAGGACAACAAGTGAACCAACAAGCTTCGTCACGCCAACGCGACCCATCTAATCAACTCCCACACGGGAATACTGGTGAGGCCGCATGCAGATGAGGGGAGAAACAGAAGGCGGCTCAAGCGTTTATCTTACTAAACTGAGGTTAAAGACAGTTTATCATATGCAGGATTTTAAATGTTTTCAAATTCAGACCATCCATATAAAACCTCTTTTTCATCATCTCAAACTGAGGCCAGGTTTATTTGTATAACACACAGGAGACAGCTGGAAGTGCTTTACGTCATTAAAACCAGGCTAAGCAGATGAGTTTTCACTCAGGGTTTCATCTTCTGACAGTTTGTTCCAGGTTAGCAGTGAGTAGAAACTGAATGCTGCTTATCAGCATGCAGAGCAGACCACAACCTGGGTGGTCTGGAAGGTTGACGCAACAAGTCTTTAATGTATTTCAGTGGTAAGAGTATTTGAAAGTGTTCTACCTTAGAACCGCTCCATGGTTCTGGTTTTAGTGAGAATGTGAGCGCCAGCATTCTGAACCAGCCGCTTTACTTTGTTTTACTACTTTTGGTCTAAAATATGCTAGAAAAACGTGATTCAAACATGACTTTGTGTAAAATCCATTGTAACATTTAATTTTGCCAGGTGGTTCATTTTCTGGATTCCCAGTTGAAGTTTTGCTTTTCCGCAGGAGTTCAAAGCAAAGAGGACAGCGGTCGCTACAGCTGCCTGGCGCCCAAAATGTGCGAGGCCGAGCACATGATAAGGCTGTTCTGTTATGGTCTCCGGCTGTTTCCCCGTCTGAAAGTCCCGTCTCTCTGGTTCCGTAGAGGACGTGAACATTGGTCTTTTTGTTTTCCCGCGGCTGCGTCTCATCTGGAAGGACACAGAGGGAAGAAAATCTCAAACTGACAACTTACCAGTTAGTTTTCATGGAAAACCTGCAGAGATAATTGACTTCCCCTGCAAAAATGTTGGGCCTTCCTGTTCTTATCGGTTCCATTTTGGTCACTGGACTCAAACAAAACCCCTCAGACGTTTCAGCTTGACAAATAAACACATTTTGTTCAGCATAAAGAAAAGGAGCAAATCTTACAAGTCATGCAGACATACAAATGTAGCAGGACGTCTTCCTGGAAGCAGACTAAAAGGAACAACATAAATCATATCCATAATACTTCAATGTTTCAATGTGACTGCTGCTTTACCATTTTAATACTCTTTTGAAAAATAAATCTAAAAGTTCAGAACACATGTTTAAGTTCAGAAATGGGGATAATCTCCCTTCAATTTCTGCAGGATTAAAAACATTTCCACCAAAAAATCTACAGAAAATTTGTCTCTCTTTCCTCTCGTGCGTAAATATGTTTACAGAAACAGAATTCAAACCCCCCCCAAAAAATTTCAAAACATGAAAGGATGACTTTTATCAACACGATTCCTCTTGGCTGTCATGTATTTTAAAATATTGATAATTGTCCTTCCAAATCAGTGGATCCTGGACACGGAAGACGGAGCCGGTGCTGAGAAAGACGTACTTAGAAATGATTCACTTTGAGTCTGAACTGCTCATTATTGTTGTAGAAGACGTCAACTTCCGTCCATGAATATCAGATATAGATTAAAATATTAACGCCCCCCAAACCTAGTTATTATATTCAAAACAGCTTGAAAGAAAAATGTAACTCTGAGGCAAAGAATCCTTGATCTACAAGATCTCTGAGAGGAAAAAGGATCCATGTGATGATATGTTTCCTCACATCTCACAAATTCTGTAAAGCAAATAAAAATCTCTTATTCACTATCTAATTTATTAATTTTGCATCTAATTAAGTAATTGAATGAAATAATCATCTCAGTCCTGCACTCTATGAAGTCTCATGAGTTTTTAGAAATATTAATTATTTGCTACAATTTATCAAGAGTTTATTAAAGAAATGCTATTATTACATTTCAGGCAACAAAGTGTTTATTGTTCAAAAAAATAAATTAATTAGTTTGTAATTTACTCCTAATATTACAGAAAAAAGGCTCAATTAGTTTGGTGATTGATAAGTAAAATATAAGCTCAATAAATACCACTTGCCTAATTTTTATATTAAAATTATTTTATATATTTTAAATATTTAAAAATCCTGTTTATAAATATTTTCTACCCAGAAAACCTGATGTGTCACTTTTAGCTTCGCCAGGTAAAAAAATATCTTAACACCCAATTATTAATTGATTAGTTAATAAAATAATCAACAGATCAGTTTTCCACTATTGATAAACTGCTAGAAATTATCAAGTGTTCAATGAAGGAATTTTGTTATTAAATTTTAGGCAATAATAATTTTTTTATTTAAAATAGTAACTGAATTATTTGCATCTTATTCTAATATTGTAGAAAAAGTTTAAAGTTAAAAATACTCAAAATGTGATTTTGATTTTTATCACATTTTGTTACTTAAACACTTTTAAAGTCATTTTGTTGTGAAAATGAAAAGTGATTTTCACTAAAAAGTGTAAAATCGTTAAATTTGTATTTTTTCTTTGTTAAACTTGAGTTTGTGATCTTTAGTCCTAATGAGCTGCAGGCTGCAGAGCTCTGCTTTAATTAGTCTAACTTACCTTCATCACTGCTGAAGACTCTGAAAACTCTCCTGTTTGTATCAATGTGACTCTGCTCGGCTTGTCGGGCTTTAATTGTTCCCTCTGAGGTGGAGGCCCAGAGAAAGTATTTCTGTGTAAAGATGAAGAAATAAAGCTGGAGTCTGTGAGAAGCCGAGTCCTGCTGGTGGATTTACTGCTGAACAGACGAAGGTCTGCAGGAGCCCAACGAGTCGCTGCAGAGAATCTGGAAAGTCTTTGGTCTGAAGATGAAGAGAATCTGAAGACCTGAAGCTCCAAGCTGTCATCAACTCTCTGATCAACACGTTTCCTCGCCTCTTTTCTTCCCTCGCCAGGTTTTTCCACAAAATTTGACAAAGTGTGAAAATGTGGTGATTTTTTCGTGAAAAATTTATGCGGAAATCATTTATTTTTGTAATGAGCAGTAGCTCAGAGGAATAAGAAGTGGACTGGGAGTCTGCAGGTTGCAGGTTTGAGTCCTGAACTCTACCAACATATTTACACTTCCATACAAAACACACCACCATGTCAGGGTCACACCATGAACGCATACTCCACTTCCTGTTTTCAGAATAAAAGCACCGGCGCGTTCGATTCATGGTTGGACACAGAGGACGGATTAAAAACCGATTATTTTATTGGGAGAACAGATAAACATGATGAGGAGCTTTTATACTGAAGGAGCCTCCAGGAAGTCACAGCATGCCGTCCAGGTTCTTCTCAGCGCTCTGCGAGTCGGCGGCGGTGGCGGCAGCGGCATCCTGGGCTGTACTGGGTGTGGTAGTCTCTGAGGATGGTGACCACGTCGTGATGGCCGAAGTGCACCGCCTCGTCCATCGGCATGTTGCCCCACCTGCACGCAAAACACGACAACACCGTCACCATGGAAACACTGCTGGAACAAAGTTTGGTGCCAAAAAAATAACAAAATGAAGGAAGAAGGAAGGAAAGAAACAAGAGAGAGTAAGGAAATGGAGGAAGGAAGAAGACCAAAGTAAGGAGAGTAAAAAGGAAGTGAGCAAGAAGGAGAGAAGGAAAGAAGATCAAAGGAAAGGAGGAAAGATGTAAGCAGACAGGAAATAAACATGGAGACGCTCCTACCTGTCCTTAGGGACCGGGTTGACCTTACAGGCCACCTCAGCGTGACCTGGAACACACCAGCAGAACCTCAGCCTCCACTTAATGTCTGGGCCTGACCTTCAGCCGCCGTCCCTCTGCTCCATGTCCATGGAGGACAGAGCGTCTCCGGTGCAGGCTGCAGGTTGATCACCTGTCTTCACCGCAGATGAGGAAGAGGATGGAGACCTTCATCGTCTGCGGTCTGCCAGCAGCAGGCGCTGCAGAGGAAAATATCTTACTGAAAAGCTACTTGTAGGTGTTTCATTTGCAGAGTCAAAAAACTGGACTGAAATACTTGATAGCATTCAGTGTTTGTGCAGCAGAAGCAGACTCACCCTCTGGTCTCCTCCCTCCCTGCAGGGGTCCAGCTTCTTGAAGTGCCTCAGGTCCTCATCCTCTCACTTCCAGCTCTGGATGAATGGATGAAGATTCTCCATCAGCTGTTGAGAAACAAGATTCTGTCAGAGAGATCAGACCAGAACCGTTTAATGCGGTTCCACTAAAACCCCACTTGGTTCTGTCAATAAGCTGATCAAATATTGTCATCATCACTGGAGAAAAAGCAACAGCTGATGAATCAAAACATCAACATTCAACAGAATCATTGAGTATAAAACAAGCTGCTGCTGCTGCTGCTAGTCTGTTAGCATCGCTAGCTCCGCTCAGAGTCTCTGCGGGATGTTTTCATCTCTCTGGAGCTGCTTCTAGTTCACACTGACTGATAAAACGCTGATTTCATGTTAAAATAGGAAGAAGATTTAAGAAATACCACAGCAGAAACACCAAGAGAGCAACAAGAGCTTCATTAGCCGGTCGGCAGTGGGAAACTAGCTAACTGCTAACTTAGCCTTCTGTCCCCTAGTGGACTCAGTGTGTAAATACAATCAGAGTAAAGCTAGAGAACTGATATGTGATTAGCACTTCCTTTGAATTCTTTCAAAGTAAAACACAATGAACTAAATTCTCCCGTTAGTACATTTTAGCTTGTTAGTTTATTATATTATCAGAAAGTATAAGTGTGTAGTTTTCTTAGGATGCTATATGAATTGCATAATTGGGCTCTGAAGCAAAATTATCATAATTATTCTTTTTCCAGACAAGAAATATATTTCATAAATATTCTGACTCAACATCTTGGCGAACAAACCAGTTATTTATTTAATCAGGAAACATTAATATGTAATTTATTTAGGATATATAGATGAATTATCTGTATGTAAATAACTCATCTATATATTAAATCAG